ACTATGCATTCTCTTCTGTGATTACTTCCTGTTGAACCTAGGATGTTGTTGTCAGGACTCTGGAAGGCTAGAATGTTAGTCAAAGGCAAGGAGGGAATTTAGAAGAATCTAGTTCACTGACCAGCTGAAGAGACAGCATTTACATCAGCTGAATTGATCCATACCAGTGTTCAGCATGTTCAGGGTTCACAGTCTTTTGTAACAGGTTATAGTAACTACTTGACATTTGGATGTGTCTGTCAGCCATGTGAAAACCTATTGAGACAAATGTGGACTAGGGACAGAAGTTAAAATTTATGAACTTAAAGGGAAATACTACATTTGGAACTTTTAGGCCCATATTCCTAGTATTTGGGGAGGAGAGAAGACCCAAGACCTGAAGAGAGAAGAAATACCATCCTTAGGAATAGACAGGTGAGGGAACTCAGACTGTATTGCTCTGGAGTACTTTGACCCATGAGAAATGAACCCAGATTTCATGATACTCTCTATTTTCTGAAGTTTATATGATCTTTCATTTTATAAAAAGATATAAAAGTTTTAGATACATAGTGTTATCAATCTGTACTGAAATCCCTATTGCAGAATAAAAGGTAACAGGTGTCTGTATAACATCAGGAGAATACTCCAGATGATCAGGTATAATAAGTCAACTCAATTAGTTTATCTGGACTTGATTTAATTTTGCTATGTGGTACTTATCCAGAATATTGCTCATTTCCTTTAAATTTTCCAATTTTGTGGAGTACATGTTTTTAAAGTATGATCTGATGATTCTCTGGATTTCCTCCACATATGTTGCTCTGTCCCTCTTTTCATTCCTGATTTTATTAATTTGGATATTCTCTCTCTCTGCCTTTTGGTTAGTTTGGATAAAGGTTTCTCTATCTTATTGATTTACTCAAAGAATCAACTCTTTGTCTCATTGATATTTTGTATTTGTTTTCTTTGTTTCTATTTTATTGCTTTCAGCCCTAAATTTGATTATTTTCAGCTGTCTACTCCTCCTGGATGTGCTTGCTTCTTTTGTTCTAGACTGTTCAGTTGTTCTCCTAATACACTAGTGTGGGATTTCCCTAGTTTCTTCATGTAGGTATTTAGTGCTATGAACTTTGTTCTTATCACAGTTTTCATTTCATTCTTTCCCCTAAGTTTGGGAATGTTGTGCTGTCATTTTCATTGAATTTTAGGAAGTATTTAATTTCTTCCTTTTTGATCTAGTAGTTATTCAGTTGAGTATTGTTCAATTTCCATGATTTTATGGGCTTTCTGCAGTTAGTGTTGGAGAATTCTAACCTAAACCATGGTGTTCCAATAAGATACAGGGGGTTATTCCAATTTTATTTTATCTGTTGAGGTTTGCTATGTTTCTGAGTATGTGGTCAATTTTAGAGAAGGGCTGTGGGGCAATGGTCTTGTGCTTTGTAAAGATTTGTCACTTATATTTTAATAAAATGCTGATTGTCCAGTAGCCAGGCAGGAAATACAGGTGAGGCAAGCAGGCAGGAAATGGAGTCAGGGCAATGAGAACAGGAGAATTCTGGGAAGAGGAAAGATTCAGTTGGCAGTGTCACAGTGGAAGTCAGACACGAAGGAAGCAAAATGAGAAGCCTTACTAATAAAGGTACCAAGCCACATGGCTAACACAGACAAGATTTATGGGTTACTCTAAAATGTAAGAATTAATTAATAAAAATCCTGAGCTAATAGGCCAACCAGTTAATAATTAATATAGACCTCTGTGAATTTTTTTTTGTGTGTGGGGGTGAATGGCTGCAGGACTGGGCAGGACAGAAACCTCTGTCAACAAATGTGTAGACCTCTATGTGTTTATTTGGAACTGAACAGCTGTGGGACCAGGTGAGACAGAAATCAACTGTCAACAGAGAAGGTTCCATGGGGTGCTGAGAAGAAGGTATGTGCTTTTGTGTTTGGGTTGAATGTTCTATAGATGTGTGTTAGGCCCATTTGAGTCATAACATCTGTTAATTCTTTTATTTCTCTGTTAACTTTCTGTCTGGCAGACCAGTCCAGTGGTGAGAGTGGGGATACTGAAGTCTCCCATGATTAATGTGTGGAGCTTGCTGTGTGATTTAAGTTTTAGCAATAGTTCTCTTTACAAATGAGGGAACCCTATTATTTAGGGCATACATGTTCAGAATTGAGACTTTATCTCGATAGATTTTTCTTTGATGTATATGAAATGACCTTCTTCATCTCTTTTGATTACTTTTAGTTTGAAGTCTATTTTGTTAAATATTAGAATAACTACACCAGATTTTTTTCCAGACTATTTGATTGGAAAACCTTTTCCCAACCCTTTACTCTGAGTTAATGTCTGTCTTTGAAGTTGAGGTGTGCTTCTCGTATGCAGCAAAAAGATGGATTCTGTTTTCATATCCAATCTCTTAGCTGATGTCTTTATGTGGGCAAATTGAGTCCATTGATATTAAGGGATAATAATGTCCTGTGATTTCTAGTTCCTTTTATTTTTGTTTTTGTTATTGTTGGTGGTATTGTGTGTGTGTGTTTGTGTGTGTGTGTTTTTCTCATCTTAGGGATATGTCATGTGGGGTTATCTATTGCCTGTGTTTTTGTTGATGTATCTAACTTCCTTGGGTTGGAGTTTTTCTTCTAGTACTTTCTATAGGGCTGGATTTGAGAATAGGCATTGCTTAAATCTGGTTTTGTCATGGAATATCGTGTTTTCTCTTTCAATGGTTATTGAAAGCTTTGCTGGATATGTTAGTCTTGGTTGGCATCTGTGGTCTCTTAGTGCCTGCATAACACCTGACCATGACCTTCTGCTCATTGTTTCCATTGAGAAGTTGGGCTAAATTTTGATAGGTCTGCATTTATATGTTACTTGGCCTTTTTTTTGCAGCTATTAATAGTCTTACTTTATTCTGTATGTTTAGAGTCTTAATTTTATGTGTTCAGGAAACTTCTTTTGGGTCCAGTCTATTTGGTGTTCTGTATGCTTCTTATATTTTTATAGGTAAGTACTTCTTTAGGTTGAGAAAATTTTCTTCTATGATTTTGATGAATTTATTTCCTGTGTTCTTGAACTGGACTTATTTTTCCTCTTCCCTATTATCCTAAAGTTTGGTCTTTTCATGGTGTCACAGATGTCATGGATGTTTTGTGTTAAGAATTAGTTGGAACTTACATTTTTTTTTTACCAATGAATCTATTTGCTCTATGATATCTTCAACTCCTGACATTCTCTCTTCCAACTCTTGTATTCTGTTGTTTATGATTGCATCTGTAGTTCCTTATCATTTACCCAGATTTTTCATTTCCAGAGTTCTCTTGGTTTGGATTTTCTTTATTGCCTTTTTTTTTCAATTTTTATGTCTTGGACTGTTGCTTTCACCTGTTTGACTGCTTTTTGGGGGTTTTACTTTAAGGGATTTATTAATCTCTTCCAATTTTTAGTTCATCTTTTCTTCCATTTCTGTAAGGGACTTTTTCATTCCCTCTTTCAGTACCTCAATCATCTCCATAAAGTTATTTTTAGTTGTCATTTTCTTCTACTGCATCTGAGTTGGGATGTCCTAATTTTCTTACTGTAGAACCACCAGTTTCTAGTGATGCTGTATAGCTCTTTCTGTTGTTTAGTGTATTTTCCCCTTGTTGTCTAACCATTTCATTCTCTAATCAGTATGTGTGGAGTTGGTGCTTCAGTTGGTTATGTTGGGGCTGTGGTTCCCTTGAATACTCATTAAGGTACTGGCAGGGCTGATACTCTAGTGATCACTCCTCCAGATTCAGATGGGCCCAAGGTTCAGATGGTATCTCCTCTTGATGCAACTGGTGCCATGGTTCTGGTGGTCACTCTGCCAAGTGCACATGGTATCCTGTCTCTGCTGATTGCTGCTTTTGGTGTAAATGGGCCTGAAGCTAAGGCTCTGGTCATTGCATAGCTTCTGGAAGCCTCTGTTGTCACCATGGACCATGGTGGGTATTGATGCTGTCTCCCGGCATGGCAGGCTTTGAAACTACCCAATTGTTTTAAACAAGAAATTTGTTCTCTTATTTAGCAGTAATCATCAACATGTTTAGATTAAAATTACTCATGGAATTAAACATAATTCCAGGCGTTAGAGTGTAATTCAATGGTAGAATGTTCAACCTAGCATAAATGAGGTCCTAGTTTTGATCCTTAATACTGGTGGAGAAAACATAACAAATAACTAGGACCCCAATAACATTAATTTCAATTCACTAAGTCTGGACTGGATCCAAGGGTTAAATGCTTAAACATTGTGAGAGGTTCTAATGGACAGTCATCTTGTGAGATCTCTGCTTCCTAAGCAGTGGTCCATGGACCAGAAACCTCAGCATCTGCCTCAGTCATCCAATGAGCTATCCAGAGTCCAGAGATGAGAACTCAATGTCTTATCTACAGCAGAGGAACAAAAGAAGTGTGGTTTTATCTAAATCTGGTGCCTTCACGGTCAGAAGAAGGCATGGGAAGTCCTGGAACTGGAGGTACAGATGGATGGGAGCTACAATGTGAATGCTAGGAATAAACCAGGGTCTTTTGGAAGAGCCATCTTTCCAGCCCTTAGATTTTTTGAAATTACATTTATTTATGCATGTGTATAGACACTCATGTGACACTCAGGTAGAGAGCAAAGGACAAATTTTGGAACATGTTTTCTTCTTCCATCATATGGTTGTTGGTGACTGAACTGAGGTCATCAGGTTTGGCAGCAAGTACAGTTAGTTCCTGAGCCACATTGTTAGTCCATTGCTTTACTATTTTTAAGAGGTGTTCCCATCTCAGTCTCAAATGTTAATTGGAGAACTGGCTTTTTATATTGTGTAATATTTTAAATTATCAACCACAACAATACCATATTTTAAAATCTATTTTTATTTTCATCAGTGAATTTAAGAACTATAACATGGCAGAGATGAGCAACTAATAATTTGTAGTTAACGGCCTCTGACATCATGGCAGAAGATCATGGGGCAGTTATGTTTTTCTTTGTTCACTCTGGGCTTGTTCGGTTTTCCCTCTGAAAGCAGAATACATCATTTATTTGATGGTTCCCAAGGTTTGTTCCCATCTCCATCTCAAGTATTTTGAAGCTCAAAGCAGCCCTGGCCTCTTATGCTTGTGAAATCACAAGTATATAAACACCACAGAATAAATCAAATATAAATTGGTCAAATCTGAAGCTTACAAGGTCACAGAGATGGAAAACAAACTATTTGTAGACAATAGTTTGAGACATCAGAACAGGAAATCTTGGGATAATTACCTGTCCCCTTGCCCTAGGTGAGTCTGGTAGAATTCTTCCCTGAAAGACAGAGAGTTAATGATGGGAGGGTTTTGCTTTTAGTTTGTGAGTGAGGTATTTCTCACCATCTTCTGGATATTTCTGTCTGTATGAAACCTTGTTAAATACAAGCTGTATTCATGGAAATTACTTCTCATGTGCCCCACAGTGAGTCAAGGAAACATTTGGATCCAGTTTTCCTGTCCTGGTGATTTTCACAGCGAGCTCAGATAAGGGATGCCACTTGATCGCCCACAGATTTTAGACATACTGAGGGCTGGTTTCTCACACTCTTCTTTCCCTGCATAGAAAGCTAAATTCTACACTTGTCCAGAACTGTCCTCCTCTATGACCCAGCACAGGGAAGGGTGATCCATGACACAGTTTTTGTCCTAAACCTCGAAATAGCCATCCCACCCTTTGGCTTCAGCATCATTTCCTGCAGACTCCTCTCCCCAACAGCAGTAACTGCAGGTAGGGTAAGAAGTCACCGCCTTGCCCTGGTTAGGGGCTCACACCTGTACTCCCCATGGCTTCAGATGGAGCTCAGCCAATACTTGATGAGCAAACTTTTGTGCTTTATTGTGAGGATGACACAGGGATAGGCCATCTGAGATATGTGCCAGAAACATCTGTGTACCCTACATCGAAGGAAATTGGTCAAGCTATCAAGGAAATCTCCTGGTTTTCCCAATTTACAGCGTTGATAAAAATGAAGAACAAAGAACTTCTTTCTTTCTTTCTTTTTTTTTTTTTTGATTTTCCAGACAGGATTTCTCTGTAGCTTTGGTGCCCATTCCTGAACTAGCTCTTGTAGACCAGGCTCTGGCCTCGAACTCCCAGAATCCGCCTGCCTCTGCCTCCCAAGTGCTGGGATTAAAGGCGTGTGCCACCACCGCCCGGCCAAGCATTTATTTCAAAATTATATCCCTTCTTTTACTTTTATTTTTGGGTAGACGGAGTTGAGGCAGGCCTTACTCTGTAACCTGTCCTGGAACTCACTACAGAGTGTAAGCCAACCTTGATCTCTGAGCATTCTCCCTGCCTAAGTATCCCAAGTGCTGGGATTACAGGTCTGACCCACAATACTCAGCTGTTTAAGAACAAGCATGAGACGACCTGGAAGAAGAACTGCTGGAACATTCTGTAACTGTAAAGCAGGCATCCACATGGGTGCATTATTTTCAGCTATGCAATCATATATTGTTTTCATAACTGGCACTCAATTATATTTAAATTTAATTTAAATTATATTTAAATTTAAGTTTGATTATGTCCATGCGACCAAATTTTCTGCAACTAGTTAATGGTAACGGTTACAGGGTTTTCTCCTACCATCCAAACAATGGTAGTTAATACATTAAAGAGGATTAAGCTATAACACAAGACAGCTGAGGTAACACCCATGTCTGGCAAGTTGGCAACAACCCATGCCATGGAACCTGTCTAAGAAAAATCATTATGGTATTGTTTACGCAGTCATTCTGCTAACATCTGGACAGGTGAATTATACCTTGATTGAAGTTACCAGTCATATCTAAAGAGCTTCTAACCTGTTGTCTCACCCCAGAATAATTGAAGCTGTCTGTCACATAGAAGCTTTTAATTCACCATCTTACCCAGGAGCCATGGAAGCTATCTACCACCAGAATACCTTTATTAAGCATCCCAGGTTCCATCCTTGACAATATATGCTTTGCCTCCAGTTCTTGGATCTTTCACGGTTTCCTCTGATTTCAAACTCCCTGAGAGTGAGCCACTCTCCGTTCTCACTCTGTATACTCTTCTCATGGATGCCTGTAAGACCAAGACCAATTGAGCAGCCAGCTATGAAAACACATGCACTTGGCCCATTATATCCTGGATCTGGGGCTGAGGTTTAGTGTCAGGAGGATGTGCATTTCCTTCTCAGTCATCAGGGGCCACACACCCATCCTGATAGGCAAGGACAGAGAATGACTACCACTGATGTTATCTTTTATGCTTTTCCTAAAAAGAATCCATCTATTTTATGTGTATTTGTGTTTTGTCTGTAAGGGTGTCTGGGTACACCATTTGTTCTTATTGCCCACAGAAGCCAGAAAATGGAATTGAATCTTCTGGAACTGTAGTAATAGATGGTTGTGAGCCAAGTGTGGTTGCTGGGAATTGAGCCTGGGTCCTCTGGAAGAACAGTCAGTGTGCTTAACCACAAAGTGCTCTCTCCACCCTTTGGATTACATTTAAAAGCATTCTACTGTAATGTTAAAAGATTGTCAAAAGCAATGACTCCAAAACGTGACCAGGATTCTTACTCTTTCTTTTACTGTGACCCAGTGTAGTTCTAACTTGTTTTTCAGAAAGGTAAGTGAGGGCAGAAAATTCCATGCTGGACTCTTGTGAATCCAGCCATGAGGAAGCTGTCACCACAGCTACTTCTATAACATTATAGTCCAGGACACGACAGATGGTTATTCCTCATATTTTAGACTCATGACTAGTTGATGTTAAAAGTGATTTAGGAAATGATGTCTACATGGAACAATTAAATTTCATGTAGGCATTTGAACCACAGGGAAAACACTTATTTGTTGCTAACAAAGAACTACTTTGGCGCTAGGGAAACGGTTCAGTGATGAAGGGCACTGCTGCTTTTGCAGAAGACCCAGGTTCAGTTCTCAGAACCCACATGGGGCTCACATCCATGACTCCAGATCTGATGTCCACTTCTGGTTTCCATGGCCACCAGGCACACTCGGTGCATAGACACATGCAGCCCAACACTCATAGCCAGAAAATAAAAGTAAATCTTAAAGAACTGTGCTGTGGAAAGGAAGATCAACCATGATAGAGGACCAGTGGCACTGTACCCTAACAATCACAATTTCCACAACATTTCATTTCCATTATCTTTTTTATCATAACAATATGGTGAGAGAAGTTTTATTCTCATTTCAAAGAAGAGGAGGTTTAGTATTAGGGAGCCTGATGCAGATGACAGAGAAACTGACCTGTGATTGAGCTATGGTTTGAAGTCTCCCCTCCACCAGGGGTCATATATTGAAATCCTGGTACTTGAGAAGGTGGTATGTGAGGTGGCACTAGATCATGGAGGGTGCTGCCTTTGGGAGGGAATAAGACAATTCTCATGGGACCCCAGCCACTGTCTGGCTTCCTGTCTTATGGTGGGATCTCTTCCTCCTACATGTCATACCCCTGCCATAATACCACTTGCCCTCAGTCTCTCTCCAAAGGCCAACATATGAGACTGCCTGATCTTGGCCTTTTAGCCTCTAAATCTTTAAGTTAAATAGAGCAGTCTGACTGAATATTTCAGTAGAGCAAAGAACACTGGACTAATAAACCAAGAGAGCTGAGGTTAGAGTGTATTCAAATTCCAATCCAAATCCTCTGTGTCTTCTTACTCAGCTTAAAGTTAGACAGAGGTTACAGATAACTGACCCACTAAGGTTGATGCTGACTTTCTCAGACACATATACTTCCCATCCTGGTGTGTTAGGCTTACTCTGGTCTGAGATGCTAAATAGGTTTCTTATTGGCCTTTGTCACAAGGGGAACCGGAGGTAGCATGATAAGCCAGGAACATATGACATTTAAACTTGCAAAATTGCACCTTAGGGTACAGCTCAGTGAGAGAGCATTTGCCTCACATGTACAAGGACCTGAGTTTAATCTCAGTACTACAAGAAGGAGAAAAAAAGAAAAAATATGAAAAATGTCCCCATTCCTTCTCCTCTCTGGGGTTTGGGGCAGAAAAGAATGAACACAGCAGCCTGTGACTCTCCTGAGAAATGCTGCCTGGCACAGTGGAATTTTGGGTGCAGTCTGTGAATGAGGCTTTGTAGAGCGCTTCTGTCACTCACAGAATCACAGAATGAATCTCCATGCACCAACCATTTACAAAGAGTTCACTTCACACTTGAGACCTGCTATACTTGTAGGTATCTGCATTTGGTGTGCGCTATAAAGATAGGTTCGTGCATAACTCATAACCCTGGCCCTGGGCTCGGGCAGCTCCTTGGAAGAAAGCCTTTCACACTTTCATTGCTGGGGTGGTTGATTGCACCCTGTGTGTCCCCAAAAGGAGAGCAATGTCAAGAGTTTCTGGCTTCTCTGGACTTGGCCTCTCATGCCCTCTTCTCATTTGTAACTTGACCTCAAACCCTCACTCACTTCAGTAACGGGTGTGACATTGCCAATATCCCGAGTTCCACAAACTGACTCTGGGATGATACATCCCCAACACAGATGCCCACCCCCTACAAAGTGCTATTGTATAGATAAAGAGCACAGATCTGAAACTCACCTTGCGCAAATTTCTCCACATACAGAGTCCCCCGAGCATTACCACAGGTCACCGGAAGCTCAGGACGTCTAAAATCCTCACTGTTCAATATGGGATGTGTTGGACCTGCGCAGACACATTTCACTTTATTCTAGAACTGTGCATGGCTTTTTCTCCACCCACTTCGGTATCTTGTTTCTGCATCTAAAATGCACTGGGTTTTCCCATGAATTAGTTATACACAAAGATATTTCTGTTGTGAATGATTAGATTCTTATAGCTAACAACCTGCTCTGTTCCCAACCTCTGAACTGCATAGTGGCTGGAGCCTCGTTGCCAGAATCCCAGCTCTTAGACTTGTTGGTCCCAGCAGCCCCTGTGTTGTGGGAACTCCTTCAGCCAATAGACTTTAAGATACTGGCCCACTCTGGGCGTGGTCCATGTACTTTAACTGCATGAAAGCATATGTGACCCTTTCTTCTGCTGGATTCGGTTCCAGTTCCCAGTGCTCACAGAGGACTGTGGATTACTACCCTTACTGTGAGTTTATCCCCAAATAAATAAACCTTTGTTAATACTCCTTTCTGGGCTATTGTGGAACTCTTTGGTACTACTACAGTTTGGCGACAATGTGGCATGAATCTACGAAATTGCCTGTCCCTGCTCAGACCCGCTAGGGCCTCCTCCCACCCCATGGAGCTGAACTAACCCTCTGCAGCTGAATTATCGAGGTGGCTCAGTTGAGCAAGGATTGGGTTGGCTTATCCATAGTAGGGACTTGGTAATTTCTAGCCCTCCTACCCCTGTGTGGCTCAGTCTTGCCAGCTAAGTTGCTGAGTAACTGATGCCTGCAGATTCCTGCTGCAACAACTCTGTGTCTTCTCTTACCCCTGTGGTTCATTGTTGCTACCCAAGCTAAAATCTGCTTCTGAGGCCCATCTGCTGTCTGGCCTGCTCTGATCAGGCTGAGCTCTATCCCTGCACCTAGAACACAGGCTTGCATTCCCAGAATGGATCCATGAGAACCACAGGCCCAAAATCCACCCTTAACTTCACAGCTGGCAATTGCCTGCAAGCTCTGAGTCCTTTGACTCAATTGTCTCCATATGAAGGTGTGCCGCTTTTAAAAATTTTTGCTGAGTCTCATAGGTCCCTGATCTAGACCTGCCTTACTGCCACAACTCTGACACCTGCTGGACAATCCGCAGTATTACACCTACAACAGTTTTCTGAAAATTATAAGGGAGGTAAGTTAATTTGATACCTAAGTATCAGATTGATAGGTAAGTAAGTAAGTAAGTAAGTAAATAAATAAATAAATAAATAAATAAATTTGAAGATTGTAAACCAATCCCAAGTTATTTGGAGACAATATCCCCACCAAGGAATATAATAATATTTTTGTTTCTGCTATGACTGGATTGCTACAAGAGCTGTATGACCTGATACATATATTTTTGTGGCCATGGTGGCTATAAGTTTTATTATTCATACTGTATCCTTAGAGAAATGGTTTCATAACAGAGTGAGGAATGAGAGACTTTTAGAAATGATACAGTCTTTATAGACTCGTAATGAGAAGTTATCAGAAAAGTGTCAAATTTTTGAGATTGACCATTAAAATCTGTTAAAAAGGTATGATAAGCCAGGAGACAGAACATCCTACCAGGAAGGCAGTCTACATGCTATCCAAATAATATATATGGATAAGAAGATATGATAAGTGAAAAAATTAAAACCTTGGAATAACATGTGTAGAACGAGAACCAGAAATTAATTGATTTGATGAAGTCATTAGAAATATATCTGTTTTTGTCTTTATCATACCTTTCATTGAATATGTAGTCTGCATATGTCTATATAGATCATGCTTAAGTTTTCCATAGTGAACAATAAATTTCCCTGCAGTAATCTTTGAAGTTACAGGAAGAAGATGGGGCCCCACAACAACAACTCCACCTGGTTTATATGAATTCATGATGCTGATAGCACTACTACAAGACCTGTTTTGAGTGGCAGCTGCACGAGACGGTTCCGACTTGGTTAGCTGAAATGGTGCACATCTTTTTCAACATTCTTGTCGGACCTCCATAAAAAACACTCAGAGACTATTTGCAATTTTACCAGACCAAATATTAATCTTGGAATTTAACCATTGTTTACTTTCACAGGATCCCCTAGAAAGAACGTTGCCCCCATGACAGCTGGAAGCAATTTTAGAGGATGACGTTCCCTCTCCCAGCAAAGTTTGCCCTCAGGTTTAGGGACATCATTCAGGGGTTGGTTATAATTGGTGTATGGTTGAGGGATGGGGAGGAATTTTATAGGCTCAGGGTTCTTCTTGAAAGATATTAGGAATAATTGGATGATGGGATAATATATTGGTATTTAGGAGTTATTGTTTTTAGACAATTATATTGGTATCGATTCCTATACAAAGTTAATATTGATACAAAGTTAAGTTATATTGAATATTGTATGTGTGTATGCTTCTACCTCTGTTTGAAACATTGTGTATGTATTGACATATATATTTACCATATTACAGTGTACACTACTACCTCTGATCAAGATACTTATACATTGTTTGCATTTGAAGGTCATTGTTTTTATTTATTGCACAGTTGTTTATTGTCTTAGTCTTTAAGTTAGATAGGTATTGAGAATTATAGATCAATAGTCATCTATGTTTGTCATATTTACATTTAGGCTAATCAGATTCTTTATATACGTAGAGATTATAATCAGTATAGATAGTATAATCTTCAACCTCTTCAAAGAGCTGTAGAAAATGGCCTTTAATCTAACCTAGAGTTCTGTGGTAGTGAGAGACAATCACTCCTGGCAACACCAATCTACTCCTGAGAGAATGTTGAGAACCAAAGACACTCCACCTGGAGCCTTTCTTCTTGGCAAAACTGGCCTTTGAGCAAAGAAATGCCCATACCTCAACCACTGACAGAGATACAGAGTATCCATAAATGGACAAAACAGGACTGTCATATCATGCCAAAACAGGGTAAGATAGTTTTGACAAGTTTCTTGCCTTTGAAAATGGTATGTCAGTTATGCTAGGCCTTAGCCAAAGTTGGCTGCTTCAACATTGCAAATGAGACTTTGGGTAATTGCCCAGGTAGTCAGTTGTCTCTGTCATTTGTTGCACAATTTGGAAGTTTCTCGATTGCACTTCCTGTTTAATCAGTAATATTGCTTCCCTTCTCAGATCTTTGATGGAGTTGAAGATTAGATAATTGTAGTTATCTTCCTCATGATTTAGCCAAACTTAATTTCAATACATTATATAGACTCCTTGAAATAGAATGTTTAGTAAAACTTTTGTCATGTGTTCCTTGCTTAATATTGTTTATTGTTTGTAATTATATATTTGGTATCTGTTCCTGTTGTATATAGTTGTATTGTGTTTGGATCGATCTTGTTTAGACAAAAGGGGGAGATGATGGGGAAACTATCAACTGATAGTTTTGACCAATCACATTTAGTTAGGGTGTGGCTACCTAGAGTTCAGGTAGAAAAACCTTGGGATGTAGATGCACACACTCTCTCTCTCTATGTGGTGCTCACCAGACCATTTTGGATTTTGGACCTCCCACTCTTATAGCGTGGGTTCCTCCTTTTTTCAATTATTAAAATATAACTGCTATTCTTGAGCTGGTCTGGTTATTTATTGTACAGACCAAATATGCCAATAAAAAAGACAGTGATAAAAAGATTTGAATCAATCAAGGACCTTGTCAGAACTGATAAGCAAGGAGAGGAGGTACAGGCAAAGGACAATAGTAAAGATTTAGCATCAGCAGTAGCTCTTAGTGTCAGAGATGACTACCAAGAGTTTTAGCTACTTATTCTGTTACTACCTCTGAAAAGCCAGCAGATTCTCAATACCCAAAAGTATATACAGAATGTAAATCAGAATCATATATATATATATATATATATATATATATATATATATATATGAAAAATTTAAAAGATATTAAGCAAGCAGTAGTACCTTATGGCACATCTTCACCATATGTGAGGGTGTTGATAATGACATAGGCTTCATGAAATAAGGTTACTCAAAATAATTGGCTTCAATCAGTCTCAGCCATGCTAGAAGATGGACTGTAGTTACAGTGGAAATGCCGTTGGAGAGAGGAGACTAAAGCCCTGGAACATCAAGGTAGAGCCAGAGGAATTGACGCCTCTCAAGATGAAATTCTTGGTGAGGGCTGTTACACTGATTCAGATAGTCAAGCTATATACAATAAACACATCTTGTTCTTGTGCCTTACAGTGTTCTTGTTCTTGCAGCCTTGAATGCTTGGGACAAGATTCAAGAACTAGGAATAAGAATTAAAACATATGAGGTCATGCAAGGCTCAAGATAATCCTTTAGTGACTCTTTACAAAGATTAACTAAGCTGTACAAATAGGGGTATCAGATCCAGAAGCTAGACAAGTGCTTACTGAATCTCTGGATTTTTAAAATGCCAACTTAAAATGCAAAATGATACTTGGACCATTAAAGGTTAGAACAGCACCAATGGATGAATGGATCCTGCACCTAGTCAATGTTGAGTCATTTGACTATAAGGCTGAGGCTTGACTGAGGCTTGGGTAGGAGAAGCAATTTCCAAAGGTATGAAAAGTCATCAAAATATCAAATGTTTTTATTGTGGTAGAATGTGCCATCTGAGAAGGATTGTGGACAGGGCATTCATACAAATAGTGTTTCTTTTGGAAATAACAAAAATAAAAGGTCTCAATCTTTTGGATTTTATAGACAATGAGACAAAGCCCAACACTGGATCAATAAATGCAGATAAATAAGAAAAAAAACAAGGTCAGCTGTCACTACTGGGAAACTCCTTAGGGGGTTTCTCACAGACCCCAGTTCAAATGTGGCCCAGTCATTCTCAGTCACTGTGGGGCACATGCCTCCTCAGGAAATGGAAAAATCCAGTGCCTGGTGTAAAAAAACATATTGCTATTGCTGAAAGAAGAATAATGGAGGATGAATCAAAAGTTCCAGTAGAAAATTGGCAATGTATATTTTAACAGACTTCTATAAATGACATCAAAGACCAAACCCGAGAGTATGAATAAATAATACTATAATTGAAGGATTTTTGAATACAAGTCCAGATGGGACTATTATTACTCCAGAATCTTGGCATCTGGATTGGCCTCTTCAAGAGGCAGATGTTCAGTTCCTAGGAATTGGAACTCTACCTCAATGGATGAATGGATCCTGCACCCAGTCAATGTTGAGTCATTTGACTAAAGCTGAGGCTTGACTGAGGCTTGGGTAGGAGAAGCAATTTCCAAAGGTATTGGTAAAAGACCTCAAATAAAAGACAGCATGCGATGGATTGAATGCATAGGGCCATATGAGGCTAATATATTGGTGAATCTATGGGATCGTGATCTGTTACAACAAAGGAATACCCAGAGTAACGTTTCTGCAGTGTCATAATTGGGCCATAAATCAACTCATGCTCTGGGACGGATATTATAAGGTGCCATGAAAAAGAGTCACCAACCATTCAGGCAGTACAAAACACAGAAGAACAACTAGCAAACTCTCAGAGTTGCCAATGTCCCTACCTTTAAAATGGTTAAGTAAGAAACCTATATGAGTTAAACAATGGCTTTTAACAATAGAGAGACTGCAGGCCTTAGAACAGCTGATATAGGAGCAACTAGATGCTCATCATATTGAAGAATCAACCAGCCCTAGGAATTCTCCTCTATTTCTTGTTAAAAAATCTGGAAAATAGAGAATGGTGACAGATCTAAGAGCTGTTAATAAGTGATTCAACCAATGTGCCTTCTACAATTTGGAATTTCTTTGCCTTCCCTGTTGCCTAGAGTATGGCCTCTTATAGTTATTGATTTAAAATATTATTTCTTTATTATACACTTGCTAGGAAAAGACAGAATGATTTGCCTTCACAGTGCCTACCTATAATTCTAAGCCTACTAAGAGATACCAATGGAGGATTCTCCCACAGGGAATGTTAAATAGTCTCACTCTGTGACAATAATGTGTAAGTCAGCCATTGGAAATAATAACTAAGCAATTTCCTGAATCCATAGTTTACTATCACTTGGACAACATTTTGCTATCTGATTCAAATATCAATACTTTACAAAGAATGTTTGAAGAAGTAAAGAAAGTTTTGCCTAAATGGGGATTACAAATTCCTCCTGAAAAAATACAAAGAGGAGATTCTATCAATTTTCTAGGTTATAAAATAGGTTTACAGAAAATTAAAACACCAAAAACACAAATTAGGACAGAGCAATTGCAGACTCTTAATGACTTCCAAAGAGTGCTAGGAGACATTTCAATCTGTGGCCTACTTCTTGGTTAAAACCTGCTAAAAACAATTCATCTAAAGAAAACCTTAGATAGTGAAAAAGACTTACACAGTTTCAGGGAATTATCATCTTAAGGCAAGAAAGAATTGACTTTGATTTAAGGGAAATTACAGGAAGCACATATGGATAATGTGGATCTGAATCTTAACTTTTTTTCTGGCTGTATCATCCCCCCCCCCAAATATTTCCCTATAGGAATTTTAATGTGGAGGGAGATATTATCTGATAATGGATCTTTTTACCACATAAACCAAGTAAAAGGTAAAAGCCTTATGTAGAAAATGTCTCTTAATTAGATACAAAAGGCTAATTAAGACTTCATCAATTAGCAAGAATAGATCCAGAAGAAATTATACTACCTTTTACTACTACTGAAATTTAAAAATTATGGGAAGAAAAAAGGAACTGTGCCAAAGAGCTTGTAGTAATTTTTTGGGAGAGATTAACAACTACCCCAAAAGTGAGAGAATTCAACTTATAAAGAGAACTAATTGGATCCTTCCTCACATTGTGTGGGACAGAGCAAAAACCGGAGTTCTTACTTCCTATACTGATGCAAATATATCAGGAAAGGCAGGTTAGAAATCAATATATATATATATATATATATATATATATATATATATAGTGTAGTATATATATTACACATCTAGTCCCTTAATGTTCTGCCAGGTTCTCTAGCATAAAGTAATGCAGAAATTGATCAATTATTGATTTGAAATGTGCCAAAGGCATCAGAAGTTCATAAAAAATTATGTCAATAGCAAAGGTTCAAAACAGGACTTTTCTATTACATGACAAGGAGATTATGAAGAGATATCTTATTTGCTTTTTTTTATATAAGCAAAGACCACAACCTGCAAGAAGTAACCCAAAGGATACTCAAAGGAATGAAATATGCTAGATGGATGTGTTCCACTTTGTAGAATATGGAAATATTTAAAACTTTTTTATCAAGTTATTAATGGTCAATTAGAGTACTAACTAATTCTAGAAACATGCTTCATCTAGCCTTCTGTACATGATTTTGGTTTGAGTCTCTATCAGGTAACTAGGGATTATATTTTTGTACTCAGGATGTACATAACAAAATATGGTCCTTTAAACTGTTTGAGATCTGCTGCATATGACATTTAAAATATTTAAATTTTCTGCATAGATCTAAGACCATGCCAAGCAGACCTCTTTGGAGTCTCCAAAAGGAGGATAGGTCCTACAGTGATGATTCAACCAGGACTATGATAACGCCACTAAGCTGAAAACACCACCTAAAGATCAGCTTTGGACTACAAACTGCTCAGAACAATTTCAAGTTAGATAGCTGAGATGATCCAGCATAACAGACTGCTATAGCCAGGACTTGAAACAAGCCCTGTACTTTCTCATTATACAAAGACTGAATAACAAATGATAGAGCTATCTTTCCCAGGACTTGACAATCCAAATTTTCCTTTTCAGGAGCGCCTAAAGATGCCATTGTCACCAGACAACAGAAGTAAACTTAAGAACATGATGCACACATGGGGTAGGGGTAGGTGGTTTCTTAGTCTTTCATTGGGTTATAGATATTTGTCATCATTTAGTGTGGTTGATTAAAAGTTATTATTGGTAGTGGTCAGGAAAAAGTTGAACTAAGGAGATTAGATTCAGAGTTCTTACTTTGAAAAGAAAAAAATGGGATATAAATATAACAGGAAAAGGATAGATTATTGAATCTACTTTTAAAGCAAAAAGAAACTAATAGTCATAAATAGTTTACATTGATGTAGGTTATTGTATATTGATACAATTTTAATATTTTCTGTTAGAACATACTATACATATGCTTCTAATCTTGTTCATGGTATTGTACCTATACAAGTTATTTAACAATGGAATGCAAATTTCTAGTTCTTGGAAGTTATTATTACAAATTATTTAGGATAATAAAGAAATGTTGGGTAGTAGTTAGTCATCTATTAAAATCAAACTTGTAGTCATATTGGGTATGTTTCAAGGTCAAACAGAGATGTATTTCAGATAGACAAATCATCTTCAAACATTTTAGAGATTTACAGAATATGGCATTTAAGATGTTTTAATAACATAGGTTCTTTTTTTTTGTGACAATGAATCATTTCTGCTCCTGACAGCATCATTCACTTTAGAGATGATGATGGGAATTGAAGAAACTCCATATGGAGTTTACTTTCTTTATCATAAAAGTTAGTCACTCAACAAGAAAGTGTCCTTGCCTGGACTGATGACAGAATGCTGTCCCAATTGGAGAAGTAAGAAACAAAGACAAAACTGCTAAACTTTGCAAAGACAGGGTAAGACAGTCCTTCAGAATATCCTGTTTCACAGATAAGTTTGTCATATTTTCTGGACCTGTAGGCCAAAGATGGATGCCCCAACAATACAGAGGAACATTTGATGACTATTCAGGTAGCCAGCTATTTCTGTTATTTCTCAAATATTTTGGAAACCACTTACTTGTACTTCCTGCTTACTCTGTTAATATTATTTCCTTCTCTGGACTCTGAACAAGTTCAACATATAAATAGATATAGTTATAGATTTCCTTGTTAACAGATTCAGAAAAGAATTCCACTAAGAGGCGTAAAGTATATATGGTTGAGAGACATTAAAAGATTATTTTGATAATGCAAATTAGGCTAGAAAGTGAATTAGGTTCAACACTTTGGACTAAACAAAATAGGATAGATAAAGAATGTTTTCTCTGAATTTATCAATTGTTAAAGGGACTAGTCAACCACAAGAACCAACACCCACCCTGATATTTAAATCTTGAACTTGGAGAAACTACAGATGTAGATAATGTTGTGGACATCAGAAACACAAGGAAAGAGCAACCCACATGTGAGATGTGTGGTGTGGTTTTGTTTTGCCAACACAACAAGATAGGATCATCAAGTAAGAAGGACTCTCAATTGAGAAAAATTCCTCCATTGGCTTGTAGTCAAGTTTGTGGGGGCATTTTCTTGATTAATGATTGTCACGTGAGAGCCCAGCCCACCACGGGGAATGTCACTCCAGTATTGGTGGTTATCAGATATATAAGAAGCAGGCAGAGGAAGCCAGTAAGTAGCATTCCCCCATGACCTCTGCTTCAGTTCCTGCCTCAGGTTCCTATCCTGATGTCCCTTCATGGTGGACTATACACTGTAAAATAAACCAAACCTTTTCTTCCTCAAATTGCTCTTGGCCATGGGGTTTCATCACAGCAACAGGAAGGAAACTAGAGCTCATGGGAGGAGACAGCAATGTTAATAGCATCAATGAGAACAGACCATCAGATGAGGAGGTACCTGAGGGTGACCAGGTCAGGCTTTCTTGAGCAGGTCCTAAGGAACAAAAATTAGATGTTTATTTCAGGAGTTGAAGTGAGTTAGTCTCTTTTGACTTTAAAATGCAAGAGATAAAGTGCTCTGGAGCTGACAAGCTCCCCATGATCCCTGAGATCAGACTTGGGCCAAGAGAATAGGCTTTGAGGGTCAGCTCTGGCTTAGTAAAGTCCTGCCTGGGCCACTCTAGCACTGGATGGAGACTTGCATTCATATCAATACATAAAGGATGCCTGCGTGTGTCCCCATAACTTCCTGGCCCACTGGCCTTACCCGAGTTTCTAGCTGACTCTGGACCTCATTTCCTTTCACAAAATGGCCTCTCTGTATATATCTGATGGCTCGTCCCCGTTATACTTTTCATGAGGACTCAGTAGCAGCCTGTCTCCATTTCCTCCCATTTCGAATTCCTTCCTGTATTTTCTCTCTCTATTTTCCCCACTTTTTTTCATTTTTTCCCTCAGATTATCAGTACATGGTCAAGAACACAGACTCTGCCTCCTGAGTGCCTGGATTCTTGCTTTTCATTTGACCCTGTGAACACTCCCCATACAGTCTCCCTCAAGTTTACCTTCTTCACCTATAAACTGGACATCTAAATGATACCAATCCTTGATACCAGCTGGGATGGACAGTAATCAAAAGTAGATGCAACCAAAACAAGAAATTAGCCACATGGTTCCTTCTGCCATTATCTGTTATTCTTTCTGCTCTCATTTTCTTCCCTCTTCCTTTCTCTGTCTCAAAGAATCCATGTGCCCTTCCCCATGCCTCTACCACTTTCTTGCTGTGTATCTTCTTCTATCTATATATCTTCTGGAATATTTTTGCTCTCAAAAAACATTTCTCATATTGAATCTGTTTCTTCTAACATCAAGTGTGAGACTGTGACACACTGAGAAATGGTAGTTTTGGTCTTCTGCCCCTGTTCCTGGCCAGAATTCCTCAAACCGCAATTGAGATCCAAGTGATTAAGGCAAAAAGAGAGTCAATCTACCCTTGCACATAGCCACCCTTCTTCAGGAACACCACAGTGCACATTAGAGAAGTAAAGTTTGGAAAGCCCTTAGGAATGGAGGCTGGTTGCCAGGGGAACAACATATCATGACAGCATTGGAGTGCTGACCTTCAAGGTGAGAAGATCTAGAAGTTGACTTGATTACATGGCTAAACATACCATCCATCATAGCTGTATGATGAAAATTTTATTAAAAATCATAAGAGTCTCTGTACAGAGAGATTTGGGTTGAAAAACTCCATAGTGAAGGAAGGTTTGTGTGCCCAGCGATAACAAGAGAGTGTAGTTTTCTCTCCCTTATTCCTTGGGTTGTCCCTCTCCCATGTAGTTATTATTTGTGTGCATATGTGTGTGGAGAACAGAGGATGACTTTGGCTATCATTCCTCAGGTGACATCAACCTCTTTTTGTAGAGATGGAGTCTCTCACTGAGCTAGACCTCAACAATTTTCATAATCAGTGATCTCAAGGAAGCTGCCTGTCTCTGCCTCCTTGGTACTAGGATTATAGCACCTGCTCCTGTGTCTTAAACTGTTTTTTCTTTACACGAGTTGAGGGGATCAAACTCAGGTCCTGTGCTTGTATGCACTTTGACAACAGAGTCATCTCCCCAATTCCCCTCACCATAGTTATTTTTGAGCTATAACTTTTCTAATGAATTGTAAGCTATAGATTCCTTGAGTTTCATGAGCTAGCAAGTTCTGTAGCCTGAGACACCATGGAAACCCCTGATTTATGTTCAGTTGACCAGAAGCATGGGTCATAACCCAGAATTTGTAACCAGCATCTGTAGTAGACTGCTGTCTTGTGGCCCTGAACCCTTTATCTGAATTTAATTACATCATAAGACACCTTGCTGGTGTCTAGAGAGGTGGTTGGTGTGGGAAACCTCACTCATTACACATCTGGTGTCAGAGACCAGTGCATGTAAGGGCAGGACAAAACAGGACATCACTCTTACAGAGCATTTCCTCTTTTATGTCACCATGGACCACACTGCTTCACCTTTCACAGTTCCATATTGGTCAACTCCTTCAGAGACTTTTCTAAATCACAATTATTTCTGAGTAGTCAGTCTCTTAAAATCTGGCTACTAACATTGGGTTCAGGTTCCTTCATCATGGGTAGCAGACTGACTGTTGTCATGGTTACTCTGGAAGGATCCTACATCCTCCTAGAGGCTGGTCAATTTAGATCTCAAGCACCGCCTCCTTCCAGGATTCGTATATTAGGGGTCTGTCCCTCAGAATGGCACTAGTAGGTGTTGGTGGTACCTTTAATAGGCAGAGCTGAGCTGAAGGAACTTAGATCACTGGAGGTGTAACCTTGAAGGGCACAGGCACATCCTCTCTTCCCTTGCTTCCAGGTCACTAAGCCCTTGCTTTGATGTTATGCCCCATCTTAAGAAATGAGGTCAAACCATTTGGGCTGAAGTCACTAACATCATGAACCCAAATAAATCGACTTCCTAGGTATCCATTTTGTTTTTGAGTGAGTTTTTCTATGTACAATTGGCTGGTCTCAAGCTCACAATCTTCCTGCCCCAGAGTTTAGAGTATCCAGCTTCTCCTGGGTAATATGTCGTAGTGCATGAAGGTAACACCAGACTTATACCCACTCCCGTCACTGCCTTCTCTGTTTTTCCCCCAGTCACACTCTGCTAAGGATCTCCTTTATTTCCTATTTTCTGCAGCAATAAGAAACTCTCTCCGGGTGTAATTACCTTGTTCAAGATTTAGCTGCAAGTTTGGGTCCTGTCTATCATTTTCTTCAAAACACAATTGGTCCTGTGGTAAGACTGAAGTGGGAGGGAGAGGGAAGAAGAGGAGGAGTCATTAGAGATCTTTAGCAGGGACAAAAGGCAACATTTCTGCATTACACATTTAGGAGTTTCAAGTCTTCTGATCAAGTTCAACGGTTCCCACATGACAAAGTTCACCCATCATGTCCTGGGACGGAGAAGACTTCACAAGGGAGACTTTATGCTTCCCATACAGAAAGGAGACACTCAAGGTCAGGAATAAAAAAGTAGAAGACACACTTGTGCTGTGTTCCTATTCCTGTGTTCAGAGAGCAGGGAAGATATATGTCAAAATAGAAAAAAATAGAATCTAAAGATAGCTTCCAGGCTGTCACAATTGTAAGAAGAAATGGGATCTTTCCTGGATGGAAGGTGTAGGATCTGACACATACCAAAGGGAACTTGATGATGGGCAGGCTTGAAAGACGGACAAGATGGGGTTGAAGAACTGGCTCATACATTGTTGATTTCTGTGAGCATGTGGTGCTAAGCTAAGATGGATCCTGCAACCCAGAGCAGAGCTGTCACTCAAGGTGGGGATAGTGAACCTGATGGCCTCCTATGACAATATTATAAGGGCTCCACTGAAGAGACACAGCAGGGCTACCCTACAGGGACTGAGTTCTTCCTGTCCTCTTCTCCATAGCCTGATGTTCATGGGGCTCTCATTGTCTTAGCCTAAATACCCAGCCTACCAGACCTCAGGAGGGTTTCAACTGTAGCCATTAGATATAAGAGTTGTGATGATACATAACATATTAGTTTTTAAACTGTTACATCTCAGATTGTGCTACACTGTATACGGCACATGGTAGATGTTTAATATATGGTTATTGAGGGGAAATAAGGACTGTGATCTCTGAGGGGATTCTAAGCCCAATTACCATTTTTAAATCTTTTAAAAATGCTTTCCAAATCAGGGTATGCCTCCTTATTTTCCACACAGAACAATACCCTTAGAACCTGCTGGTCAAGTCTCTTCTCCAGTACTTCCAAGGCTTTGTAGATCACTTGTTGTACAGGGACCAGGCTTGTACAGGAATCTTTAAAATCCTTAAAAAATTTAAAGGAGAAGGTGTAAGTGCAGGCTTCCATGTCACAGAAAACCTCTAGGAAGCAATAATAGTTAGTGTACCTCAATCCACAACAGACATATCTTCTAATGCAAAGTTTTATATTTGTATGGCTACTTCATGAAACAAGTAAATATTTTCTCTCTCAAAATACTCACTAGTGTCTTCCACCCTCATTTCTATGACATGTAAGAAGGCCACTTTTTTTTAAGAAAGGGAAACTTGGGTTAAGGGTTAACAGTGGGGCTGGTGAGATGGTTCATTGCGTTATAGGCACTTGTCACCAATCCTGATGGTCTGAGTTCAGTCACTGGGATTCAGATGGTGAGAGGGGAGAACCAACTAGCCACAGGCTTGCCTCTGACTTCCACATGTGCACAGGCTCATACACATGCGCACACTCAATAGAAACATACACATGCTTATAAGTAAATAAGTAAGATATGCAATAATATTTTTTAGAGTAGAGGTGCTGGAAAGATGATTCATGGTTGAGCATACTTGCTGCTCTTGCAGAAAACCCTCTTTCAGTTCCCAGCACCCACATGGCAATGCAAGAACACCTGTAACTCCAGTTCCTAGGGATTTGCTTCTGATTTCTGTAAAATATGGGCACCAGGCCCACACGTCTTGTGCACACATAGAGTCAGGAAAAACACTTGTACACATAAAAATAAAAACAGAAGCATTCTTTTTTTTTTCAAGGTTAACTAACAGGGTAGGTGCCCAATGCTGTTCTGTTATCCAGACACCTCCTGTAGGAAATCAGATGTACATTACCTCTGAATATGAACTCTGCTGGAGGGAGGCATAATTATAAGGCAAAAACCAAAACAAAACTGGAGGGATTGGAGAGAGGGCCCAGTTGTTAAGCACACTTGCTGCTCTTGCTGAGTTCCCAGATTGGATTGCTAGCACCCTGATGATGTTCACAACCATCTGTAACTCCAGTCACAGAGGATCTGAGCCCTCTCTTTTGACTTCCAGAGGCACCAAGTGCATAGACATACACGTAGACAAAACACTCATACATATAAAATAATAAAAAGTTTTTAAAAATTTGTCCAAATAAAAATCTCTCTAGTTTGTAATATTCTCAGATCTAGGTTTTTAAAATAGATATTAATTAAAATAAAATGTCCTCATGGAAATTTCTCTAAGTCAGTTCAATAAAATAATTCAACAGTAAATTTAAATCACTTTTAATTTTTTGCTCATTATTTTAGTTTAGTTGAATTTGATTTTCATGAACTCAATGGTTTAAAATGCATGAGACATTGCACATCTATAGAGAACCCTTGTTCTGTTCTGGCTTTTCTTCAGCAATACTCATCCAGAAGGGAACATGGAACACCTTCTCCTCAGATAGAAGCAGCACCATCTCATGAGACCTCTGCTTCTCCTCCCCTTAATACATGGAGAGAAGACTTCTCGAAATATTTACATGATACATATCACTCCCAGAATATATAGGTTTTAAACCTGACTCCAGAATTCTAATTTATAATTGATGAGTGTTTTATTGTTACTAATATCTCTACAAAGTGCTATGAAAATTTTCTTTTCAAAAATTAGGTTCGGGTGCTGGAGAGTTCGGGTGTTGGCTTGTGGTTAAGAAGATGTGTTACTGTAATAGAGGGCCCAGGGTGATTCCCAGCACCCACATCAGATGACCCAAAACAACATGTATCTCCTGTTTCAGGGAATCTAGAGCTCTTTTCTGGACTCTGTAGGCACCAGCACATATGTGAACACACACACAAACATGCGCATGAGCATGCAAAAGCACAAAAACATACATTCACATGAGAAATAAACTCTTAATTTTAAAGTTAAGTCCAACTTTAAAAACCTGCCAATCATCCAGTTTGGCTTCAAGATATCAAAGTGTAACTTAATCTGGAGCGTGTTTCAAGGTTAGAATATAACAAACCCCACTTACTGTGTACATTTTTTCAGTGATGAGACCTCTGTCACGAAGTACCTCAAGAAAAGGAAATGGGTTCTTTATTGCATTAGAAATCATCACTTTATGTTTTTTGAACCACAGGAATTTAGATTCGAAGGGAATCGTCTCTGTGTCCTCATCATCTGTGGACATCCTGGAGGGGGAAATACCATGGGGAAATGATAATCTGGTCCATCAGTCTATATGCTTGTGAAATGTAAGGTTTTATTCATGAAAGAAAGACTGTAAAGGACTAACACACATAAGATAGGTACTCTTGAGTTATCCCCAATAATACAATGAGTCAAGTCCAATAATTTGGCAAGTTCGGGGTTCAATGAGAGAGACCCTGCCTTGCCACTCCCAGAATCAACTTCTGACTTCCATACATGTGTGCACACACATACATGTGCATCTGCACACGTAAGCCCTCATGCATGTGAATGTTTTTTTATGCATGAATGCATACTGCATGTTAACACACAGATGAAAAATAATGTGAAATATAATGTTAAGTATGATTAAAAAATTCCACTACTAGGTGTTCTTATACAGGTGAAAAGGAATATTCTCAATAATTTATATGCAAATATTTCTGGTAGCATTATTGATAGCCAAAAGTTAGGAACATTTGAAATGGCCATTAGTTCGAGGGTAGAAAAATAAAACTGGACAATTAATACAATGAAATACTACTCCTCAATAAAAGGAACAAAATGCTAATATATTCTATGAGTGAATGAATCTCAAAAATCTTTTTCTTAATAAAGGTAGCCAAGACAGAAGGAAATATAGTATATAAATCTATATCTATAAAATGCTCAGAAATGCAATTTATAGAGACAGATGTATGTGTGGTTGCGTGGACTAAGGGGACCAAAACGGACTGTCCACAGCTGTGGAGGATTCTTCTGAGGATGGTAAATCCAAAGTTCCAAACTTGGACTGTGCTGCTGGTTGTAGGCTCCGTAAAATGTCACTGGATTGTATATTAAAATGGGTAAATTTTATAGCAAGTAAATTAAATTCAAAAGGCTGACAACATATGAAAGTGTAAATTTTAAAAGATGAGCAGATCAATAAAGGTGACAGGCTGAATATTTTTTCTTCCTAGTACAGGTAAAGGAGCATATTTTGAATAACAAACACACATTGTGTTCTAACTTGGTGGGTTTTAAAATTTTGTTTGTTTTGTGTTTTTTGTCAACTAGACAAAGCTAAAGTTATTTGAAAGGAGGAACCTTAATTTAAAACAGGAAGGCTTACCTCCGTATTGCCTGTAAGGTAGTCTCTGGGAAATTTTCTTGATTGGCGATTGATGTGGAAGGGCCTGGTTCACTGGGGGCATTGCCACCTGGAAAGTTGGACCTGGTATATTTAAGAAAGCAAACTGATCAAGCCAGAAAGCAGTGTTACTCCATAGTTTCTGCTTCAATTTCTGCCTCCAGGTTCCTGCCCTGACTTCCTTTGTTGAGGACTGTGTTGTGGATGTATAAGACAAAAATCCCTTTCCTCCCCAAGTTGGTGTTGGTGTTTATTACCGCAGTAGAAACTCTAACTTCAACACTGTATGACTGGATGTTTCCATAGTCTAAACAAGGATGTCAGGAGGTGACAGACAGCACTTAGGTTAAAAAGACATCTTGCTAATGTCAGGGTGTCTATAAGTTTAATCAACAGTACAGGACAACCAGCCAGCAACTAACTATCCCACACACACAATAACTGGAGGATGAGGCTGAACCTTACCCTTCGACCACAAACTCACATAAAAAGGACAAGAGAAGCAGTCTCACTTTGACTGCACTGCCCCTTGCTCAGGCTGGAACAGGCCTTACCAAGGTGAAGACCCTGGACCTAAGGTTTAATCAGAACCAGATGAGAACATACAGCTCCCCAGAACTCTCAGGTGCCTCTGGGAGGCCTCCATCTTTTTGCCCAATGAAGAACACCGAATGACTCAGCAGCAGACCACTAAGAAACAAAGAACAGGGCAGTGATGACCAGCCCTTCCTAGACAGCATTCCAGTCTGGTCACAGAGTCAGCCTACTACCCAGAAGAATTTGCTGATTCTGCATCACAATAGATTATAGAGTTGGCTCCACCCATCCAAGGAGCCAAATAGCAAGTCACCCCATCTGGATCAGAGCCTAGCCTATGGCTTCACCTAGGCCAACAGACAAGCTGGCAGCCTGCCTAACTTTAGAATATATACCCTCTAGTACTGACAGACCAAGGATCCCACACACAATGGGTAACCAAACTAACACTTTCCTACCTGCAGAGTTTAGCTTTTTGTAGTCATGGCTAAGGAACCTAAACTGCTGACTAGTCTGGTCTCTGAGCCGAGGTCATACAATTCATGGAGAGGAAGCCAACCTTTCCACAAATGTCAGGCATTTCACGTCACCCCACGTTGATGAAGCAAACAGAATGCTTCAATATTTGCAAATAGGTGAATCGGCTGCATCACATTAATAGAAGGGAAAATGTAAATCATGTCTCACCAGAGGGGCAGAAAAGGTATTGCACAAACTCAGCATGCTTTCGTGATAAAAACAGACCTCTCAAAATTTAGCCTAGAAGAACTGTACTTTAGTATAATAATGATCACATAGGAGAAAGCCATAATACTATTCTCAAGAACAACAAGTTTAGAGCTTTTCCCTTTGAGGTCAGGGACAGTGAAAGGGTGTTCACTCTCAGCATTCTCTCTTTATACTGTACTAGAGGGAAGGAATGAAGGAAAAGAGGAAAGGAGGGAGGATGGAAATAAGCAAAAGTGTTTGAAAGTAACTATATATATATACATACATATATATGAATATATATATATATATAATTCCATAGATTATAGACACAGATTAGTATTAATTAATAAATTTAGTAAAGTTACAGTTCAAAAGTCAACATACAAAGTAATACATCTGGAAAAGAAATTAGAATTCCTTTTTCATTAAAGAGAAAAGTGTGTATATGTGAGAGACACACAGAGAGAGATGGAGAATGGAGAACTACTGACTCGTGAAATAATTCTTTTGTGCGCTGCCAAGATTTGTCACTTGGATTGGTTTAAAAAATGTTAAGTGTCTTGTAATCAGGCAGGAATTATAGGGGAGGGGGACAATCAACCTAAGAGAATTATGGGAAGAAGAAAGGTTGAGTTATAAGAGATGCCAGTGAACCACAGAGATATCAGGATATATAGAAAATGAACTAACAAGCCATGAGTCACATGGCAAAGCATAGGTAAGAAATATGAGTCAATTTAAATGTAACAATTAGGTAGTAATAAGCCTGAGACATTGGCCAAGAAATTGTAATTAATATTAAACCTCTAAGTAATTATTTGAGTACAGTTGTGGGATAAAAATCTCTGCCATCAAATGGTGCCCACATGGTACATAGATCCTCATAAGACCTAAAAAGTCTTGAACAAAAAAGGTTCTAAACGCACAAAAATGGAACCAGATACAGCTTTATAGTCACATAATCTCTGGCCAGCTGCAATGCAGAGACGTGTCATTCAACAGCTGCCCAAGAGACAGAGACAGCTGCCAGCTGCCAGCTGCCGTGAACTAAGTGGCAGTGGTTTCTCGCAGTTTCTCACATGGGTCCCAGTGCAGAGTGGCTTCTCCCAGCCCCAAATTAACAAAATCAGAAATGAAAATAGGGACATAACAACAGACACAGAAGAAATACAGATGATCATCAGGTCATAGTCTGAAAACCTGTACTCCACAAAATTGGAAAACTTAAAGGAAATGGATATCTTCCTGGATAAATATAACTTACCAAAATTAAAACCAAATTAAACAGACCTATAACTGTTGAAGAAATAGAAACAGTCATCAAAAGTCTCCCAACCAAAAAATAAATAAATAAAAGAAATAAAGAAAAAGAAAAAAAAAAGCCCAGGACCAGAATTCTACAAGACTTTCAAAAAAGAACTAATATCCAATACTCCTCAAATTATTGCACACAATAGAAACAGAAGGAACAATCCCAAATTCTTTTTATGAGGCTACTCTGATAACCAAACCACAGAAAAAGAATTACAGACCAATCTCACTCATGAACATTGATTCAAAAATACTAGATAAAAATACTGGCAAATAGAATCTAAGAACACATCAGAACCATCACCAACCATGATCAACTTGGTTTCATCCCAGAGATGCAGGGATGGTTCAACATACAAAAATCTGTCAACATAATCTACCATATAAACAAACTGAAAAATAAAAAAACATGATCGTCTCATTAGATGCCAAAAATCTCTTGACAAAATACAACATCCCTTCATGATAAAGGTCTTGGAGAGAGCAGGGATACAAGGAACATACCTAAACATAATAAAGGCAATATACAGCAAGCCAACAGCCAAAATCAAACTAAATGGAAAGAAACTCCCTGCAATTCCACTGAAGTCAGAAACAAGGCAAGGTTGCTTATGCTCTCCATCTCTTTTCAATATAATTCTTGAGATCCTAGCTAGAGCAAAAAGACACCAAAAGGAGATCAGTGGGAAACTAATGGGAAAAGAAGTCAAACTCTCACTGCTGATGATATGATAGTTTACATAAGTGATCCCAAAAATTCTACCAAGGAACTTCTATGACTCATAAACACTTTCAGTAATGTAGCAGGATACAGATTAACTCAAAAAAAAATCAGTAACCCTCCTGTACACAGATGACAAAAAGGCGGGGGAAAAAATCAGAGAAACAATACCCTCCACAATAGTTACAAATAACATAAAATATCTCAGAGTAACACTAACCAAACAAGTGGAATACTTGTATGACAAGAACTTTAATCTTTGAAGAAAAAAATTAAAAAAGACACCAGAAAGTAAAAAGATCTCTCATGCTCTTGGGTAGGGAGAATTAACAGTAAAAATGCCAATCTTACCAAAAGCAATCTACAGATTCAATGCAATGCCATCAAAATCCCAGCAAAATTCTTTGCAGACCTTGAAAGAACCATACTCAAGTTCATATGGAAAAGCAAAAAAGAGAGAAAAAAACAGGATAGCCAAAACAATCCTGTACAATAAATAACAGAACTTCTGGAGGCATCGCAATCCCTGACTTCAAGCCCCACACCTGTAAGAACTGATGATAACTTATGCTGGAGAGGTTGTGGGAAGAAGGGAACACTTCTGCAAATGTATCGCAGGACTGGAGTCCCAAAGAGAGTCAATTACAAGGATAAACAGTAGCAGCTTTAGAATTGCCAGTGCCAGGTGATCATCACAGAAGCAGCAGCTACTGTGAAATGGGGCAGGCTGAGATCTAAAATGCAGGTTATGTATAGGTGTCGAGGGTGGGGCCAAAGAGATGATCTAGGCTTCTCAAAAAAAGGAGGAACTCTATGTTTGATATTGCAGGAAGGCATTTGAAAGATTTAAAAATTTTTAAGAACAGTTTTTACAATACTTAAATTTGTAAGACTATGGGACATTTGTGCTTATAAATTGTTTTATATTGTTAATACTTGGACTTAAAGGCTAGAAATGAGGGTCACAGTCATAATCACCAAATGCTTGCCAGAAACTGAGATGTTCATTCCCTGTGATGCAGCAAGACAATGACCTAAGCAGTCTGACAAAGGGCTTGGAGCAGTTTCCCAGCTCACTGAGTCTAAACCTTTGGGGTTAAGAAAGCAAAACAAAATAAAACAAAACAAAACAAAATGTTTTTACAGGGTTGCCTCGGACTACCTGCCTCTCAGATGTTTGCATTTAGATTCCTAACAATGACAAACTGCAGTTAAGAAATAGTAACAGGACAAATTTTGTGATGGGAGGGTCACCACAACATGGGGGAACTATATTAAAAAGACAAAATATTGTGAGAGCTCAGAACCCTCGGCTTAGAAACTGTCTCTCCTTACACAAGGTCTATTCAGGCTTAAAAATGTATGTCTAGACTCCTTGTCTTTGCTAAATTTGCTAAGCTTAAGTCAAATATCTTAATAAATTGAGTCATAGAAAAGTTTTATGTTTCACAAAAAAGAACTTCAATTCAAAAATCATTATTTTTAAAATAACCTGACAGATATGTGAAGTCTTAGTCTTATGAAAGCTGCTAACCTACTGTAGAATATTAAGAAATACAAGTTAATAGCCATCCTTATAAATGATAAACTTCGTTAATTTTAGCCATGTTAAGTACTATTGATATAATTAATTACAGGGATAAACCTTACTTAGTCCCCCCAAAAGTTAAGCTTAAAAGAAATAACTAGAAACAAAGTTAACTATTTAGATATAATATCAGGGCAGCCCTCAACTACATCAGAGGTCTGCA